ATGTAACATGGAGGACCAAGATTGAAGCAGATATGTATTCGAACAGGAACATATCTTTCTTCGATGCAGTAGTCAGTAACTTATAGCACAAGTATTGAAAAGCTGCGAAGGCAGCGGATGCCACAAAACAGAGAGGGCCTGCTTATGCAAAAAGTTCTAAGTGGTGATTTCAACAAATACACCTCTGTGTATCGCGCAGTCCATTTGGCATTTGTGCATCATTTTACTATCGAAATATAGGGTGTGTAATGGAGCCAGAGAAAGGCGCTACACGCTGAATTTGAAGACATTTTTATGTACTTGCCCTGAAATATGTGCACCGTTGATGACGTGAAAAACTGTGGCTAAACAAATACATTTGAACTAAATTTAGACCTACATAAACATGTATATATTAGGTTGGCTGACTTATCCTTAGCACGGCAGGGACAGCACTACATGGCAACATTCGAATCTCGGTAACAACACCAGTAACAAATTCGGCCGGCATAACTTCACAATCAGTCCAACTAGCTTCCAACGGACTCGTCAAGACCTTTTCACAAAATTTGTAAGTCTGACACAATACAAGGACTGGAATGTTGTGTTTGCTAGCTACCAGTGCAACTTGACTGCTTCCAAATGGGGCAATAACACTGCCATTGGCCAAGATGCCGTCTGCTCTCAAAATAACAATGGAAACCTCCCTTAGCACATGCATGATGCCACCAATCAGTACGTAGTCACATTTGAAACCTTTTTCAATGAGATTCTTTGCCATTTCAAAACCTAAAAATAGCAACAATGGTTACACTGATACAACAATGACAACAACGAAAAATGTACGAAATACTGCTTACGCACTGAGATGAAAAAGATGGGTGCAAGCAAGACTATGAAATCGTTCAAAACCTCATATACATGCAACAGCAGAACAATGCGCTAATGTATCAACATCGTGAACTACATGCTAGCCGAACTATGGATCTGAATGAACATTGACGAGGGAGCAGAAGCAAAATTCAGTGACGCTATATGTTACGACAGTGAAATTCAGTTCCTAGAGATGCATCGAAACAAAGAGTAGAAAATCAACTACCTGCAAATAGCGGGACAACATGATACCGTCAAGGGCACTGTTTCTAGGTTAATGTTAATGCCAATTTCAAATGGCATAGACTGCTTAACTAATTTGTCTGCTTTCAGTCATGGCAGAATATATTTCGTATCTGCAATATGTCGCTTCCTGAAGACGGACTGAGCATGAATCGAAACATTTGAGAACTTGTACATAATAAATTATACATGCTGAGTAATCCCGTAAAGTACTAGTCTAGTGTTGAATTAAATTTCTGCACAAAAATATCCACCTCTGTGTTTCAAGGTATATATAGGGCATTTGTTATTTAATAATTGAGTATAAAATCACCTTGACCCTGTGGCTGCGAATCCACAACGACCACGTCAAAGTCGATGCCCTGATTTGCGGCCGCATAAAGGCACGCCTCGACGGTGGAAGACCTAAAAATGCCAGTGTAGAAGCGCAGTAATTGATTATAGAACATAAAAGAGATTACGAAGAATATGTCAACACAGTCGGGTGCTTACAGATGCCCTTCAATTTTGCTGAGACGAATTCTGAGATCGCCTTTGTGGCTAGGCTGATTTTTTGCTCGGCATAGTCATCCAACCATTTTAACATGCGATCGCGAGCCTTAACGTAAAACGGCATATATCAAACTAGTAGCATATGTGGTTTCATAAGAATAATTTAAAAAATCCCACCAATTGACGAGAAGACAAAACATTTCAATAAGTAAGCATCAGATTGCAATCTCATACGAATCCTGGTCAGATGAACTCAATTTTCATTATTAAGAGACAGATAAATGAGGATCCCTACGCGGGCACGAAACACGAAGCTAGAAGCCGATTGCTTCGGCACTGCGATCACGCCATATCATAAGGTCCATGAAAGACACGTACGGGAAATCGACCGACATCCCAAACATCCCAGTGTTAACAAGCTTGCCTTTCCTCTTGACACATCACTGGCTATAAGGTTCAAAACAAAAAATGCTGTTAAAGACGCACTACAATCATGTGGTTAGCTGCTTCAGACGGTACACATAATCAGGAACCAACATGTGACTTGATATACAAACAAAAAAAAGTTCAGGCACATGACCGCGCAAATTCTGCGGATAGAGAGAGGAAAATTCAATACTCTTTAGCCGAGTAGTCCAGTATATACATGGAAGGTTAACAGTCCGTCGTTATCAGCCAAAATTCATGCAAACAAGCTTGATCATAACCATCAACTTCTTCGCAAAAGACTGGAAATAATAAAAGAATCAGCCTTCGGCAGAAGACACTTGGTTGATTCCACTTGTGCAAGACTGCAAGACCAAGAACTAAGGCAAGGATTACTCACAAAGGAATTACTAAGGCTTTCTACAAAGGCTTTCTGTATTCAAATCAAAGAGACAACACTACGAACTAGAAACAGGGATCACAACGATCAACCAACATATGAGTTGGAAGGTCAAATCAATATTGAAAACATAGAGAATGAGAACTGCGGGACATTTCTTTGGTATTTGTCTATGATGCTGAATGCTATAGAGTTGATGATTGCGATAGCAATCTGCATTGTTGTTGATTTTGTTTCCGTAATCCGAGGCTGACAAAGCTTAAATAGCAGGGTAACCTAAATTTATGGCCTGATCTTTAGAAATGGTCAAAGCTGAATTTCCGCGGGTCAGATTTCTTGGTAAAAGCAGACGAACTACTCTGTGGATGTAAACCACTCATCGTAAAGGCAGCAAGCCTGGTGACCGGAAGAACAACAGATCGCTGACTATGTTGTTGTGAACAGGTGAATGAACAAACAATCTTATCGCATGGCAGAAATGCGCTGGAAACTTTAGCCAAAACCTTGACTCAACAGAATTTTACATGAATGTGAAGCAAATGTTGTACTTGGCCATGTGAGTGATGATGTCGGTCTTTGCGATTATTAAACAAAAACATCATTTGTTGCTGAGCGTACTACATAGCGCTAAAGGTTCAGGACTCCGTGTCACCTTAACTATCACACCTTCATATGTTATATTAGCACTCTCTGAAGCAAGCAACGATGAAATGAAACCTTAAGATTAATAACTAGCGTAAATTCCTGAGCAATAGATTCAATATCTCTAAAGCATTACGTAGAAACAGAACCCGCGATCTGCTGCAGTTAACAAAATTCACGAAGAAAACTACTAGTATAAAAATGAGGCAAAAGAAAAGCTAAATCCTGACACCTGCGATCATTTAAATATACTATGAGAAAGTGAAGGCTATCATAATGATAAATAAGACACTATACTGCAGTTACAAAAGATTATTTGACTGCGTTCCCGCCCTAAAGTAAGGTCAAATGCTACTGAGGGAGTCAAAAAGACGAAGTAACAGAGTTACATTCAGCTATGCAAGTCAACTGCGAAAAATCCAAAGGTATCATAACATTACAACATACCTGATCCTGAGTTGTGCTCTCGTCGATTTCTGACAGCTGTAACTTTATCTGTTTCACGAGGTCATAAATTCCGGGAAGCAGTAAGGAATCACCTGCTATATATCTTAAAAAATCTTGTACAATAAGTAAAAATAAAATATAATAAACAAATTACTTTATGCAACAATCAACCATGTTTCTTAGCTTTCGATGATATGATTCATCGGTAGGAGGACGATAATCGAGGAAAAGCTAAAGAAAAACATTGTGATGCGTAAAAATCTGCAAATACACATTCAATATCATAGAAATTGATTTCTCGACTTTGAACATCACTCATAAATGAAACTAAATTTGAACACACTTGCTTAAACGCTGCAATAATTCG